GTGTTGTTTAATGCAGAGACAATCCATAGTTTTCTAGCACTGAAAATAGTTATCCCTGATAATATTACTGAGAATACTTCTGGCAGTATTAGACCAGATTAAATGTACCTGATGTTAGCAATTTCTGTTGAAGCACTGAAGACAGAAGACCAACCCCATTCCTAATCCTCCCACCATAGGGGAGAATCATGCTAATATATTTCCCCTCTTTCTGTCCACTGAATATGTAGGGTGCCTACAGTGACTCTACTGGACTTCATTCCTAACATATCAGTTATAAATTAATTAGAAGGCTCTAGACATCAAATCTTACTATGCTCAAGCCAAATTATATTGTGGATGATGTCTCCATAGGATGCTGTTTCTGCCAGTTTCTTTTTGGAGAAGAAAAGGTTTAAACTCCAAACAGTAAAAGCCTGATTATGGGGACACTTAGGAGACAAAAAAAAAAAAAAAGATCAAGTACAGCGCCATGGATCCCTGAAAGCATTTTGTGTAAAGAATTTAACATATTGAGGAAGGAAAGCAGACGTCACAGAATCCCTGACCTGACAAGACTCTTCCTGTGAATATGATGAAGAGGCCACTTGTTTGTAGCTCCAGAGAGGGAATGAAGGCAGAAGATGTTGGGAAGTTCTGTTGTTAAGTGCTCTGTTGGATAAAAACACATTTGTGCTGAACACACAACTGACCTCAGGTTTACATAGAAGTGTCTGAATTGCTTTCATCTGACTCTAAAATGGTATGGTGTCAGAAAAGAGCATGCTATTCAAATTATAAACATTTAAAAAATCTATTTACTTTAAAATAAATGAAAAGGTTTTCAATTAAAACTGAAAATTGCAGTTCTCCATTGTTTCATTTGGACCTGATCATTAAATTCCCAGAGTATTTTATACATACATTTAGGAAATAATTTATCTGTTTTGAATAGTTTTGAAAGGAAAATGGCAGTTACTGGTATGAAATTTACAGAGATGTTTATGATTTCTTTCTCTAAATTAGTATGTATAAATATATTCCCAGTGACATAGAAATCTTCCCAGGTTTCTCCTGAGACAGGTGTTTTGTTTTAGATGAGCTCATATAGAAGTAACTCAAATTTCATTTATGTTTGTTTACAGTTATGCACAGCTTCATGCATAAACTTAAGTTTTTGTTGCCATGGACTTCCACGTATCTTCTAGTCTCCCCGATTCCTGTGCATTGTTTTACTGTATTCAGAAGGGAACCCATTAACATGCACCATGTTTGATGTGGTTGGCACTCTTTCAATATTAATTCCTTGGTGTGTCATATATTGCATGATAATAGTTATTACTGTTCTCCAAGATCCCAGATATTTGCATTCATCATTCTTCTATTATACAATAATTAAAAAAAAAAATCCATTAGGCTATTTTTAAATATTAATAGTTGTATTAAATAGCTGTATTAATATTATTCAAATAATGAAAATGTACATCCATTACAATCTTTATTTGGGAAAAATATCTGGTTTTGTTTGGAGCTTGTTGGATGAATACATTTACAGTGAAGTGCCAAAATGCAGTCTTCTTACTCCTTCCTCCAGAGACTGAAAAACAAAACAAGAGTCAGTCATTTCAACCACACTGAACGATCATGCTGAGCTGTACCAGGACAAAATCATTTTGTGGTTATAGGAACTCTGAGCCAGACCTACAGTACATATTTGTATGGTCCCTGTGGAAAGACAAGAGCTGTTCAAAAGTGCTGATTTCATTATAACAGACAAAACAGAGTCCTCGCATCGAAGAGTTATGCAAACACCAGTAACGTGTCAAGGATTGCCCTAGAATATCACAGGACCGTGGAACTGCCCTCACATACAAATGACTCCCTTTCTCCCCTTCTCTATCACATACAACCCTTAATCAGAGATAGTTAAAATGGCTGAAAAATACCTGGGGGGCATTTAAATGCATTTAAGTTGTAAATAAATCTTATTGAAAACTTGAGTTTCAAGCAGCTCTATGTCAAAATAAGCACTAATTATTAAAGATATATCGTGTGTTTGATTGCCATCAGATGGACTTATGTATATGCCCCATTTCATTTCTGGGTTAGGTTTAAAAGTGGTGACGCCATTGAGTAGAGGAAATAGCAGAATATTCAAATCAAATTTTAAAAGAGAGTTTAATGTGTTGGGTTGTTTTTTGTTTGTTTGGTTTTTTTTTTCCTACTGTCATGCAAGTAGTGGCCAAGCACAAATGCCTGAAAGGGGACACAGATTTGAAGACATGAGAATTACAGCTGGTTCCAAACCTCCCACATGTACTACCCATAAATACATCCTCCAAAATTATTTACAGTAAGTTTTGTAAAGGACTAGAGGTGTCCTTTCTCATCATAAAGGAACTCTGAAAGAACTCTATGTTTACCACTGTACTGCTCAAAAATTTGTTTGTGCTTTATGATTTTCAGAAAGATGAAATTCAAACCTGTTTGTATAAGGTATAAGAATTATGTAAGTTCACTAGTAATCTTATTTTATATTCCTTTAAATGGCATAAAACCTTTTAGACTGCATCCTGCACATTTCAAATCTAAATGTTAATTAAGGTGCATAGAAAACATTCCATCAGAACCTATTGTGTACTACACACCATTTAAGCAATTGCAAAATATTGTATTAGACTTTTAAACCTCTTCATAGCATAATAGGATGATTCAAATAGTTGTTACTGAAGTAAATACAAATCACAGCTTGACTAATCATAAACAAGCATTGTTATAAAAAAGTGTTTTTTTTCTAAGTGAACCCTTTAATGCAGTGTTGGTTTTTTCAAAGCATGCACTGGGAGAAGTGCTGGTGGCATCATCTTTAGTTCAGAGATGAGTTGAATCTAAAGGTTATCCTCATAATTCAGGTTTTAGAGTGGCTTATATATTACAAATATTTTGTGCAGACAAAGACCATGCTTTTCCTGAGTCAGAACAGTTGAAACACCAAATTCTAAAGGCACTTCACATTTATAAGGCAACCTTCCATACAGACCTTTCAAATCTGTGTAGGTGGACTTTACACCTGGAGATTTTTGATTGCTTGGTTTTCTTGTTTTTCAGAACAAGCACGTATCTCTTCCCCATAATTCTTTTTTTTTTTTTTTTTTATTTGCAATTTGGTCCCTTGTTAACAACTGATTTAAACAGCTCCTGCCATGTGTTTGTGTCAGTGAAAGCACTGATGGGGTGTGTGGGGTGTGTGCGTGTGCACAGATGGGTAAGATGGAGGAGAAAACCAGCCACCAAATAAAACCAGGATATAACATTATAAAACATTTACAGCTAAAGTCTCTAGAAAATTCCCATTTGAAACAACCGCTTCCACCATGAAAACCTTTTTTCTATTCTTTCTTTCTCCAATCTCTTTTAATAGCAGCCTGCTTTGATTCTATGCCTTCAGCAGCTTCTGGTTTCATGCCTTCCAGTTTTTCAAATCACAGACACAAGCAGATCTGGTAAAGCTGCTGACCACAGAAACCTGCATGTATGGTGTTTGTTTGGTTTAAGATTCCTATGAATATTTTAGTTGGATTCAACATTTAAATCTGCCCTGAGGAATGTTGTGCTTTTGAAAGGGCATCAGCAAAGCATCTCAGCAGTGAGATTTGTCTGAGAGAGATACAGCATTCTCTTGTTTTTCCTCTTGGCTGACATTCGTCATTATTGGACTGATCAGTGGCTCACCATGGATGTGAGGCTACTTACAGACAGAATGATGAGCAGAATGATTAACAAGCCTATCAACATATCTACTGCTCAGTTCCTCTGAAGGCTTTAAGGAGCAGGCAGGTGTTCCCCTCCAGTCCTCCATGCTCTGATGAACAGGGGAGCAGAAGGTCTGGGAATTGCCTAGAATATAAAAGGAGCCCTCACACCATTAAATGTTTTATACAGAAAGAAATTAAACTCTAATATTTAACGTTGTCAAAGTTCAGGCATTCCTTCAGTGCTTCATCACCACAGTCATGCATATTACTTTTATAGAGGAAGAACTATAAGAGAAGAAAACATAATTAGTTTCTCTTCTCCCACCTGCAATGTAATCAGTTCTTATAAACCCATGTAGTATTTATTGCCTCTCACAGAAAGTGGGTTAAGATTATCTCATGGAAACATCTTATTTCTAACAATCTTGGGCATAAGAAAGTTGAACTTGTTAAGAAACATTCTCTTTTTGTATTAGTAGCCACCATGCCTTTGGCTAAGATTTACTAATTTACCCATCAGTATTGACTTTGAAAGTCAGTTCACTACCAGATTTTTAATAGCGTGTAATCAAACTCTCGCTCAGCACCGTTTCATTGGTGACATGACATAATCCATTTTCTGTGGTTAAAACTAGGGTAAGCTCTTTTTAGTGTTGAAATGTCAACCATGCAGCCTGACACATGTTTTGATTGAGTTTGGACATCCTGTTGGGCTGTCTGAGAAATTGACTTTTAAAGTGGTGCTTATGAAGAGCCTTTAGTACATTTATCTTTGCAACTGTTCCTTTGTTCTGTTCACACAGCATGCTGCAAAGTGAATTTTTTTCTTTTGGTTCATAAAATTTAACTAACCAAACATGTTTCTATGTAAGATTTAAAAATAATATCCATAATTAGATAAGAATCAAATAAAAAACCTGACAAAGGATGTTCTACCATAAGTTCCATTAGAAATCACAAAAGAGCAAAACAGCAGGACAAATCAGAAAAAGATAAAACATAAAGGGACAAGGGACAAGTAACTGAATGGTGAGAGCCGAATATGAGATGAGACAACAAATTGTAATGGAATTGAAGGACAAAGACTGAAAAAGATATAAAAAGGAAAAGGAAAGACTGAAAAGAGACTGATATTGTTCAGGCTGTAAGATTAAAAAGAAAGGTGGGAAGAAGAGGAAATTTTTGAGTTCTTTGCAGTCAGTGTTCTGGCCACGTGTTTTCTAAAAAAAAAAAAAAAATAAAAAAAAAAAAAAAAAAAAGTGTGAGGGGTGTGATTTACTGGTTAATCCTTAACCATTGATATGCCTTACTTTGTAAGAGTAACTGTAGATAGTTGAGAAATAAGGAGAAATATTAAATTTTAGGAATTGCATATTGTTGAACTAATTTTTTCATTAGAAATTTTCACTGGTGTATCTAATTATGGATTAAGATACATTCAATTTTTATTTTCCTTTGTCATGTAGAGACCATTCAGCTACATGATAATCAGCAACTGGACTTCTATTATAACAAATACATCATAAAAGTCTCAACATTCAGAACAATGCACCTTTCTCCAACATGTAACAAAAGGTTTTGTACCACATTCAAAGGAGGCAAAGAAGGAATTGTATCAGAAACCCCCATTCTAGCCTGCAGTATATAAAGACTGGACCAAAGATTGGCAGTATGCTTTTAACAAGCCTGTTAGAGTCTCATTCAGTTTCAGAGAGGCCTTGGGAAGGTTAAAATCTACACTGACCAGACTCCACAGTGCTCTTCTTTTTACTCTCTGTTTGCATTCCTGTAGTGTCTTTATAATACTATAATGGATTTCAACTAACTCTTAATAAATACATAAAAGCATGTGTATGCTGCAGGAGGTTTGAATGGATTCTGGTTGTCATTAAAACATGGACTTAACAGCCACCATTCCAAAAGCACAGCTAATACTAAGCATGATCATCTCTGCCTGCTGAAGTAGGCGGATTGGCAGGCCTGTGACCTAGGAGGGTGTTTGGTTAGCATATTGTGCTGGGTTTGGGTATGTGGTGAGAGTTTTTGGTAGTGGGGGATGGGGCTACAGTGGTGGGTCCTGTGAGAAACTGCTCGAAATCTTCCCTGGCTCCAAGTTGGACCCACCTCTGGCCAAAGTCAAGCCAATTAGTGACAGTGGCTGTGCCTCTGTGATAATGTATTTAAGAAAGGGAATTTGGGAGGAGGAGTTAGTTGGAGCTGTGAGGAGGAGTTGCGAGGAGGAGTTGCAAGGAAGACAGCTATGCAAACACTGAGGTCAATGGAACAAGGAGAAAGAAGGGGCACAATGCACTGGAGCAGAGATCCCCCTGCAGCCTGTGGTGAGATGGCAGGGCTGCTCCCCCCACAAGCCATGGAGGTCTATGGTGGGGCAGATGTCAACCTGTAGCCTGTGGAGGACCCCAAGTGTCTGTGCCTTAAGAAGGCCATGATTTTGTGGGAAGAAGCCCCCGCCGTTGTAGTTAGGCACTGGGATGACTACAACACACGGGGGTAACCCACATCCCAGCAGCACAGGAATGGCTGAAGCCTGTGGGAAGGACTCGTGTGGAGAAAGTTCATGGAGGACTGTCTGCCATGAGAGAGGAACCACTCTGGAGCAGAGGAAGAAGTCCCCTGCGAGGAGTCCCCTCCCTCGAGGAGGAAGAAGCAGCAGGACTGACAGCACCTCCCATTACCTGCCTACTGCACCTCTGAGAGGGAGGAGGTAGAGAAATCAGGAGCAAAACTGAGCCTGGGAAAAAGGGAGGGTTGGGGGAAGGTGCTTTTAAGATGTGGTAATGCTTCTCACTGTCTTACTCTGCCTGTTAAGTGGTGGTGGTGTTATTACTGTTTGAATTAAATTGATGTTCTTTTTCTTCCCTAATATGTTGTCTTTTGGGCATGACTGTAATGGGTGACTCATCCCTCCCTATCCTTATCGCGATTCCTGAGCCTTTTGATTCATTCTCTCCTTCCCAGTCCTGAGGGGGAAGGGGTAGGAGCAGCTGAGTGGTGCTCAGTTGCCCTTGGGGCTCAAACCACAACATATATACAACTGCTACACTTGTGGTAAAAGAAAAGAATTTAATCTCTTTCCCCAGTGAAGTCCATTTATTGTAGGTCTAAGAGTAGTGAATTTAGTCTTCATACAGACATCTAACTTCCTGAAAGGAGGCATAATTTAGATTTTAACTAAGTATGTCACTGAGCCATATAACACAGGAAGCTCAGATATTTATGATTAACAACTCTTATTTGAATTCTTAGATGTATTAACTTATTCCAAGTTACTCCAAGAACAAAGATATTTATCCATAAATGTGTAATCCATTCAGTGGATTCTTCCAGTCTTAGAAAATACACCTTTTACCATTTATATTTGTAATTGTTAACAAGAAACTGAACTATACTAACATTCTTTAATAAGTCTACAGTTTATCTTGAGTGCTGAAGAGGTGTTTCCTTAGACTGCTACAGCACAATAATGTGACATTAGAAATACTGTGGCTATAAAAAAGCACTGCCATGTTCTCTCCTCTGTTTACTTAGAATTACCCAGTGAAAATGAACTTTTAGTTCTCTGTAGGTGTATTGACAGAAATTGTTTTTGCTTTAAGTAAACAAGCAGAATCCCCAGACATACTGGCATAAGAATCTTTGACTATATTTTAATATATTAAGGGTTGATTTTTTGTTGTTGTTGTTTTTTGAGTAATCAAATAAGAGTAAAACTGTTATCCTGGAAAAAATGCTAATGCTTGTGCTGTATCTCAAGTCACTAAATCCTGTCTAATTAATGCTAGCATAAATCCAAAGGAATTCTGTGGAAATAAAATTACTTACACTTTTTTTCTCTGGCCTAATGGACTGCAACATTTGGTATGCATTGTTTAATGTAATAGAAATTACTTTTGATATGCAAAATACTTCAATTGCCAGGACTCGAAGGAAGGAAGGAAGGAAGGAAGGAAGGAAGGAAGGAAGGAAGGAAGGAAGGAAGGAAGGATTTAAGTAGCTGCCGACATGAACTCTGAAAGCAGTACATTTTCATCAAATAGTCTCAACAAACACTCCTTGCATTAACTTCACTCTTCACCCAGAATAACTATCTCTCATAGTTTCATCAGATCAGAAGTATCAGTTCATTTGGAGCAAGAAGAATGGTACTTACTTAATGGGAAGCTTGAACAATGTGTGTCATCATACAGTTTTTTGCAAATGTTACAAAACAGATAGATGAAAATATTTTTATTTTGAACACTGACTGTGACAGCCTGATGAAGCATGTACTTACTTCGTGAGTAGGCCATTTCTTCATGACACAAACTGTAGTATATGACATTATACAAAAATAACACAAGCTTAAGAGACATTATATCAATAGCAGAAAAATAGGGAAAAAGTCATTATTCAAGGCCATATACATGTGAGAGAACTCATAATATTGTAATTCTTCCCCCTGCAAAATAGCAAAAAACTTCACAACCATTCAACATATATGCGAAGATGTCACTATGCTGTTTCTACAATTCACATAAACAACACTTAAACCTAGAAGATAATGAAACTACCCCCTCAGGCTTGCATATATATTCAGACTAACTTCTATGTTCTAAAGCCAAGCCTGATATTTTATCATTATAATCATCCAATCATGTGTAATGACCTAATTTGCTACAACATCTCATTGAGTTCCTTGATGATACATGTTTACTGTTACCCTCTTCTTGCTTTCAAATAATTTTTAATACAGATTAGGAAAATAAATAAAAAACACACCCAAAATAAGCTAGGAAAATAGAAGTTATTTTCTTGTTGTTATGTCCTGACATTACCCATTTACAAAATCGAGATGTGCTTAACATCAGCTCCCTTGCTGATGTGACTAATATCACAGTGCAGTCATTGGAGCAGTCATTCCAGCTGGAAGGGCCAGTGATGAAATGAAGTTGATGTGAAATCTTGATCATGAGAAAGACCTTCAGAGGCTCAAGGTCTTCAAGCAGGCTGGACACTAACAGGGAAATTACCTCCACAGAACTGGAGTTTCTGTGGCGACCACAATAAGAGATAATGAGCAGATCAAGGATTTAGAATTATGGAAGCATGTGAGTGAAGGTAATAAAACTACATGACTGCTTGGATAAACCATCTTCCATCATACAACAAGCCTGGTTGACTCTATTGTGTTAATAAAGATGGCTGACTATATTCTGAGGCTTCCTTAAAGGCTTTTTTTCCAAACATTCTGCTTTAGGTCAATTAGATCTGTTCTTTTCATGCTAATGCTATAGACAAGCTCTGATTTAACCTTATTGTCAGTAGGATACCTGTGTGAACCTAGATTTGAAGACTTTAAACTAAGGCTTGACTGTCATGCAGATCCACAACTCAGAAGAACAAAATGGGTTCCCATAATGAGGACTTTCCATTTATAGGAAATAGTATAAACATTAAAGAAAGGGAGCTGATTAGATTTCATGATAGAGAAGAAGGTGAGGAAATTGATAACACAATGAAACACTTAGATACCCAACTAAAGAAATGAACATCCTCTCAGATAAATGCTTTTGTTTGTGTGAATTTATGAGGAGTCTCTTCACATCTATTTTGCTGAAAATAAATTGCTTTTGTGGAGCTTGAAGGTCTAGAAATTTACTATAAACAATGATCATCACCACTCTGATTACTTTGCTGAACATTAAGTGTGAGAACTAAACCTTCAGCTAGTAAAATGCTCTAGCAAGTGCCCGAAGTAGATACACATGCAAAATTTATGGGTGAAAATATGCCAAATGTATAATTGTAGATAGAAGGGTGGCCACCCAGAAAAGCAAATATTTTTCACAAAGAAATAGAAAAAAATAAATAATGACAAATTTTTATCCATCTGCACTTACCTTATGAGTAAAGCATGTTTTATTTGGTTGCAAGTCTGATCTATCGTCTCATTAGAGTATCTATTTATAATCTAATGTAGCAGATAGCATAAACTAGGCCTAGCTAATATAGCTATTAGTATAAACCTGTGATTTTTAACTGTTGGGTTTTTTTTTTCTTATGTAGAAATAGACACAAATATGGCTTATCCTAAACAACAGAATAGTTTTGGTGTGCTCCAGACGTGTACAGACTGTCGTGATGGCAAATAAGAAAATAGCTGTTCAAGTCTCACAGCTTAAAGCATCATCAAGCTATTCTCTACCCAGTCCTACAGCTAAAGGCATGTAAGAATACTGGAGTAACTAAGAGTTGATGAAAAATGCTCCAGGGAGGAATGCCCCACAATACATCATCAAGATCTGAGAACATCTCTCCAAACTCAGGGAACCCAGGGAACAGAAAAGAGCCCACGACCCTGTGCTTAACATGGCAGAAGCCACTAAACTGGCCCACCCAATCTTCCTCCAGGTCGCCATCTCTCCTGTGAAATGGGGAAGTTGTGTAATTCACAAAATTGCATGTATCTGTGATTAAAGTGCTTTGGTAGCCAAATCCATTTAGCTTCCACACTATCCTTTGCTAAACATTGAATACTTGAGAAGACATCCAAGTACTTGACAAAGCCCATTCTTTTCATGGGCAAATGCAATGCTTAAGTGGGTGAGAAAAAGGTAGCCCTCTTCTAGATAGGCAGGACAGTAGGAGAAACAATGGCTAAAAAACACCTATTGTCACAGCACCTCTTGCTAGCTGAATGTGTGCAGGAACAAATTTAAATGAAGAATTCTCATAGCTTCTAAGACAAGTATTCACAGTGCCATCATATTTTATCTTGCTCTAATTGACAACTTATCTGTAGGAGAAAATGATTTGGCAAGCTCTCTTCATAATGAACTTAGAATTGTTTTATTATAGATTGCTTTGTGTACCTGCAATTCAAAACAGATGCACCTAAAAAAAAAAAAAAAAAAAAAAAAAAAAAAAAAAAAAAAGTTATCTGTGTCACATTTTGGGGCTTCTTATGGCATGTTTGATGGTCTTTTAAGGAACATTTAAGTGCATGTTAATTCTATACAACATAAAGAAGTGCACCATTTTTTATGTATCATCTAATATCAGTAATGCCACATTCCTTCAGGAAGAGCAGGAGGATACAAACAAATACCTCAGCTGACAATTTTGCAAGTTTTGGGATATATCTGGAATTCTCCAGGCTGACAAAAGGCTGAAGTCAATGAGAGTTTTGCAGGTGTTCAGTCTGCATCAGGAATACCAACTCTAAGTACAGTTAGATGGATATTATCGTGAAAGAAAATTAAATGTGGCCTCAAGTTAATAACCATGTAGTTTGATGCTAATCTAATAGATAAATTTTATATTATTTTGGGAAATGATAGTGTGTAAACATGTAGAGCCACAAAAATTTTTAAAAAAGATCAAAGCAGAGAGTATATTAGTAGCACATGTAGTCATGATCTGAAGGGAGATACAGGTGTGGGAAAAGGCAGTGGCTTTTAGTCACGGATGCCAAATGAAGACACCTAGTCACCTTGTGCATGCTTTGTTCTTAGGCAACAGCTCACTGGTTTTGGAGCCTTGCTTGATGGCTTCTTCCTCTACAGTGGAAAAAGGATTAGTGGGTACTTCTTTTATGAAATACACAAGGCCAATCTAAAAATCAGGACTCCTGATTATACCAGCCATAGCACAAGTGCAGAGCTAGGGACAATCCCTGTGCTAAAGGGATTACACTTGAAAAATGGATGAAATAAAGATTACTGTATCCTTCTTATGTATG